CCCTCCACTGAGAAAATTTCCCATTTATACTCACACTCTGTTTCCTATTAATTAGCCATTTTTTGATCCACAAAAGGACTTGCCCTATTATCCCGGGATTTTTGAGCTTACTTAGGAGCCTTTGATGAGGAATTTTATCAAAAGCTTTCTGGAAGTCAAGGTAAACAATATCTATTGGGTCCCCCTTGTCCACATGTTTGTTCACCCCCTCAAAGAACACTAACAGGTTAGTGAGACATAATCGTCCCTTACAGAACCCATGCTGAGTCTGCCTCAATAGTTTTTGTTCATCAATGTGCTTACTAATTCTTTCCTTAATAACAGTTTCCACTAATTTACCCAGTATCGATGTCAGACTGACTGACCTGTAATTTCCCAGATCTCCTCTGGAACCATTTTCTGTAGAGTGTAAAGCAGGGGAAGGATATTCTTACGGGTGTAGGTGGCTTGTGTACTTTATGTAGCAGAATCGTTGATACAAGACAGAACATTAAGGTTGTCTTAAAAGATGTGAATCGGTTCATGTGCTGTCTATGCGTTTTTCTCCCTTGTCTTAATTTCAGGCAAATGACCATGGAAGCAGGGGACTCGCAACAAGATGGCAGTGCAGCAGATTCTGTGGCAGAGAGTGATTCTGCTAATATACAGTCTCTGTCTGGCCAAAGTCAGATTTCTGCTCTAGCTCAGGTAACTTTAAATGCAATATTTATTTTTAAACTAACAGTGAGGTACTGTCGGTAAATTAAACAATTTAATCGGTCTCTACACTCTCAGTCCTGATTCACATTTTCACGCTATGGTGAAGGACAGAATATTGGCTCAAAGATATTATCCTGGATGAGTGTTGGCTCATTATTTAAAGGCCTGTTTTACAGTCTTTATTTGGAGCCTCACCCTGTAGTTAATTTTTTTTGGGGGGGTGTTTGTGGGTATTTTTGTGTGCGTGTGCGCATTTATGTGGTTATGTGCTTGCATGCCTGGAAGTCATGGCAACTTCTGGTGATCCCTACTGCGGACTTGGATGTTTTTCAGAGAGGTGGCTTGATAGTCTGCCTCTGCATCCCGAGCCCTGGTATTCCTTGGAAGTCTTGCCAGAGTCAGCCCTGCTTAGCTTCCGAGATCTGATGAAATCGGGCTTGCCTGAGCTATCTGGGTCAGGGCTTCCTGTAGTGAGTTATTTATAACCTGCCTGGCCCTGCAAAGATATTTTACTTATGTGTGTGCAACACAGTTTAGACCCTTAGGGCCAAAACACGTCTGGCTTAGTGATTGTATATTTTTATGTGAAAACATTGTTGACATCTTGTCATCACTGTACGTGCAATTGTAATAGGTTGCTGTATATGACATTTTTATTTTTCATGTATTTATGTTGTTTTTAATCTTTATCTGGTGCACTCTGCAATAAATATTTATATTTTGTCGAAGGCTTTCATGGCTGGAGTTCATTAGTTGCTGTAGATTTTCCGAGTTGTGTGGCTGTGGTTTTCGCATTGTAGAACCTGATGTTTCACCAGTAACTGTGACAGCATCCTCAGAGGTATAACACAGAAAGATGGAGCACTCTCTGTGTCAAGGTGAGGAGAAAATGGTAGGCAGGTAATTTATATCTACTCCAGAAGGTGGGGTGGGGCTGAGTCATTATCTTGTAGGAGTTCCCCAGGCTATGAACATGCTAATGGAGAATCTGCACCCCACAAACCGACAGTCTGGCTCCGGTACGCAGATGATACCTTTATCATTTGGAGCCATGGAGAAGTAGAATTGATGGAGTTTTTAGACCACCTCAACAACATCCACCCCAACATACAATTCACCATGGGAAAAGAAGTCAAGGGTAAACTCCCATTTCTAGATATCATGGTCATCCGGAAAACTAACCTTCAATTAGGTCACATGGTCTACAGAAAACCAACTCACACTGACCGTTATTTACACAAAAACACCAATCACCACCCTTGGCACAAAAGAGGCATAATCAAAACATTAGTAGACCGTGCAAGACGGATATATGAACTGCACTTTCTCAATGACGAACTAAATCATCTAGATCATGCACTTCAAGCAAATGGCTACTCCAAGAATGAAATCAGAAGAGCGATTAAACCAAAGGTAAAACAAACAACTGAGAAAAAACAGCCTTCCACAGGAAAAGTGTTTTTGCCATATATCAAAAGAATCACTGATCAGATGGGAAAACTTATGAAAAAACAGACAGCCTACAAACAGTATTCAGACCCACCAGAAAAATACAACAGATGCTATGATTGGCAAAAGACAGAAGAGACCACCTCGCTTCTGCAGGAGTGTACTGCATACCATGCAGTTGTGGACAAGTTTACATCGGGACCACACAGCGTAGCATTCAGACAAGAATAAAAGAACATGAAAGACACTGCAGACTTGGCCAACCTGAAAAATCAGCAGTGGCTGAACATAGCCTAACTCAAACAGGACACAGTATTTTGTTCCAAGACATTGAAAAGCTGGACAACACTTCCAGTTACCATGTCAGATTACACAGGGAAGCCATTGAAATTCATAAACATAAACACAGTTTCAACAGGAAAGAAGAGCGTTTAAAAATAAATAGGGCATGGTTTCCTGTCCTGAAAAACACAGAAGGCCCTACATCTGACAATAGCACTACAGATAAGATTAGAATTTCAACAGACTATCCACATACAAAAGAACCTCCTCAGGAAACAGGAAACCTCCTCAGGAAACAATCCATATACAAAAGAACCTTCTCAGGAAAGCGCCTCCATTAGCATGTTCATAGCCTGGGGAACTCCCACAAGACAATGACTCAGCCCTACTCCACCTTCTGGAGTAGATATAAATTACCTGCCTACCATTTTCTTCTCACCTTGACACAGAGAGTACTCCATCTTTCTGTGTTATACCTCTGAGGATGCCAGTCACAGTTACTGGCAAAAAGTCAGGTTCTACAATGCCAAGACCACGGCCACACAACTTGGAAAATCTACAGCAACTAAATATTTATATTATTTTTTCATATTTTTGATACTCAACCTTTTGAGTATCTAACTTGATTTTCAGGTTGGGTTTGTTTCCATTTTGTGGTATCTTCAAATCCTCACTCTGCCATGGAGGCTTGCTGGGTGACCTTGGGCTAGTCTGTCTGTCTCTCAGACTAATTTACCTCACAGGTTGGTTGTGAAGATGAAATGGAGAAGGGAAGGATGTTATAAGCTACTTTGGGTCCCCATTGGGGAGAAAAATGTGTTATAAATGAAGTTAAACATATCAATGTTGTAACCACTATACGACTCTAGCTTAGTGCTGGCCTGCAAACTTAAATGCAGTAGGCCAGTAATGTGTAATGGAAAAAGGGGTATGGGACTTGTATCACACAAACCTGGGTTCAGAATTTCATTTAGCTGTGAGCTTGAGCCACTCATGTTGTGTAGCCTAACTTTACATCACAGTTGCTTGGAGAACAAAATGAGATAATCGAATGTACGTAGCCCTGAGCTTCTTGGAGTGTGTGGGAGGCATATATGAATAATTCAGAGAAATTAACATTATTCTATTCAGATCTCTTGTGATGCAGCACAAAATTGACACAGAAAGTGACAAGGCTATAGTATCGTACTGCCTATGTCAGACTCTTAGTGAAGAGTTGACTGTGCTGCCCTGCAAAAAACCGACAGAGAGAGTTTGTAAGGTGCAAAACCCACTTTTGCTTCACTTTTGAGTTGCTTAGAAACTAGCTAATTCTGCAGTGTCAAATAATCAACTGTTATGCAAACTATTTATAATCCCTTCTGATGGCCATAATTCTATCTGACGATTATACATAATGTGATGGTTTATGAGTTGTCTGTTTAACTGGCTGGTTGAAAATCAGAAACCATGAAATCCACAATTCAGTCATTACCTAGGCAGGTGAAAGTCTGCAGGTCTGTTTGCCGTTCTTAGCATTAGGAAAGATTTATTCCACTGGAGCCTTCATTGCTAGAATCTATTCATTTTCTTAAAAAAAAAAAAAACAGAAATAGAAAAATTGAGTTGAGTGGTTCACCATTTGGCATTCATTTGTACAGTCATGTACCAGCATACTGATATCCCAGTGTCTTGGTAGCCAATAATGTAAATAGGTAGTGTGGCGGCTGTGGGGTGAGAGAGAAAGAGGGGGAGGACTCTGAGGATGATAGTCCAAAGGGGAATAATGGGGAATCAACCCTCTTTGCAGTCTAAGAGAAGAAGAAGAGATTGGATTTATACCCTGCCCTTCACTTGGAGTCTCAGAGTGGTTTACAAACTCCTTTCCCCTCCCTACAACAGACACCCTGTGAGGTAGGTGGGGCTGAGAGAGCTCTGAGAGAACTGTGCTGGAGAGAACAGCTCTGACAGAACTATGGCTTGCCCAAGGTCATCCAGCAGTTGCAGGTGGAGGAGTGGGGAATCAAACCCAGTTCTCCCAGATTAGAGTCCACACACTTAACCACTGCACCAAAGTGGCAGAGACATGTCAGCTAATGCAGCAGCAGGGAAACCAAGAGAAATATGCAGTGTGTGACAGATTCTGGTTCCAGTTATAGGACAAGAGGCTTGATTCAAAAACAGAAGGTTATTTTCTTTCCAGAGTTAGCAGAAGGGGCAGGGATAAGGTGGCCACTCAAGTGTGCTACCTGATTGTCCAAAGAAGGTATATTTCCAGGCAGGAGAGGTATGTCTGGAGGCAGTCTTGGTTACCTTATTGCTGTGGCAATTCAAACAGTCCACAATGAAGGCAGTTCGAACAGTCCACATTACGTTATAGTAGGAATAATTGGTCTTATTTGTGGGAAATACAGGTGGTGTACAATTCTTTCTTTGGAAGAAATCTAATGCAGCAGGCTTCTTTGAGGCTGTGATTAATGGCTAATTACCTAGTAGTGGGCAAGGCTCAACTATTAGCTGATACAACTGTTTTCTTCAGTCAGGTGTGATGAAATTAGGCACACTCCTATCCTTTCTGTGGGCTTTACTGTATTTGTTGTGGTAGTGGGGCAGAAACTCTGTTTCTTGGCCTCAAGTGACTTGCAGAAAGAGGCTGGTACCTCATCAAGGGGGCGGGGGAGAGACACAGTAAAAGGGAAACTTGGTGGCAACACATTTTTTTCCTTCAGTTTTTTCCAGAAGGGTTTTTAATAATAATAATAATAATAACAATAATAATAATAATAATAAATACTTTATTGTCATTGTACATAGTACAATGAAATTAAAGATGCAATCTTCTCCTCCACAAGCATTCATTCTTTGGTATTCACCAAAACTCTGGAGGTATGAAACACTTGGGTACTTATCTCTGTTTTTGAGAAATCTTGGGAGCTAGTAATACTGGATAAGAACCGACTAAGTAGCACTAGGCAAACCACTCTCAGACGGTGTTCCCAATTGGCTATAAAGGCAGGGGAAAAAAACATTATTATTATCATTAACGATCTACAATCTGTGCTGGACAATGATACTCCTGTCTCACAGGCATTAGGAGGCAAACCTTTTCTTGCCCACAGACAGCTTCCTAACCTTCAGCAACTTCTCACCCACAACAGTGCCCTTCCAGACATGAACATGGACTCTGGAACCAAAGCCTCCAACAAATCAAGGTGTCATCTTTGTCCCCATATTCACTCTGACAACACAATCACTGGACCTAAGCCATCAGCCATGCC